ATTTTGTGATTCCGGGGATTGAACTCCAGACCTTGTGCTTGCGAGGCAGGCAGCGGAACCACTGAGCTAAATCCCCGGCCCATCCATATTTATTGTAGACTGCAAGTATCTTCAAACTAGGCCGTCCCGTGGATTTACTCTGTCCATGGAGTCTTTTGTTGAACACAAATGCTTACCTTTGATAGAATCAAATCGAGCAGCTCTCGGTCTCTAGATTAGTCCTCCTGAAGTTTTACAACGTCCTTCCTCACCCCTCAGTCACGCAGATGGTCTCTGCCATGTTTTCCCCTTCCCTCTGTAGCCTGACCTTCGGCTCTTGGGCGTCAAACCAGGTGGCGGGAAGGGCCTGTCTTACACCCACTGGCGCGAAGGCTCATGAACAGTGAGTGACTGCAAGGTGACCGGGTTCAGTGAGTGCCCGAGCCGACGTCAGACCCAGCTGCCTGGCCCCCGAGCCTGTGGGCCTGACCCGCTCTGTCGTTGACTCTCCGCAGAGGGCCCCGGAAGCAGAGATCTCTGCATGCAGACCTGTTAAGAGCCAGTCCTTCGCTCCATCTCCCTGACAGCCCTAAGCAGGAGGTCCTGTTACCAGAGGTGATGGAACTGAGGATCCCAAAAGGCAAAGTGGTCAAACCAGGTCTTCCTGGCCCCACCCTCTTTAGAACACTAAAGTAGCCACCCTTCCCTTCCCTACCCAAGGCGGTTGGTCACCGGCCCCTGGCAGATACCAAAATTTGAACATACAGCAGTCCTTTCTGTAGAAGGGTACAGCCGTGCACATCCGCAGCGTACTTAAACGCCTCCAGGTAACTCACGAATGAATACCTGATACATGTCCATCTACATAAACAGGCACTGCGGTGGGTGTTGCTGTTGGGGCTGGAGCTCGAACCCAGGGCCTGGTGCAGTCTACTACTGAGCTACACCCGGTGTTCTCTAAGAGGAGAAATAAGGAAACAGCTTGTACGCGTTCAGGATAGACACAATTTTCTTTCCAATCGTTTTTAACTGGTTGAGTGTGGGGATGCAGAACTGGGGGGTGCAGAGGGCCCCACACAACCCAGGGTCGGCCGAGTACTCACCCTGGACTCTCACCCGCAGCCCAGCCTAAGACAGTTGATTCCTATCACTCCTTCATCCTGTCCTTTCAACTGTACCAACCGCACAGAAACGAGGGTTTCTCCTGAACTGATAATCTTGGGGGGCTCGGGGGCATCAGCTATTGTCCTGTAAACATGTTTCCTTCATCGGGTCTCTGATATCGAGGTTTCCACATTTTTGTGTGCTTTCTGGGGGATTTGACTGTTTGCCCTGTGCTCCACCCATGGCGCTGACGGGAGGGGGGAGAGCAGAAGGGGAAGAAAGAGGGACCAAGGAGCAGTGTGAGTATGTGCGTCTGTGCCAGCTCCCCACGGCGAGTGCACTTAGCATGAACACGTACAAAAATAAAGAAAGGAGAAAAACTGACGCGCCCAGCACGACAAAACCTTCATTCCGACTGAGCCACAGAGCTTGTGTGAATGAATAACAGTGTCGCGAAATGAGGTCTTTTTTCAACAAAGGCACTCAGGCGACACGCATTGGATCAGGTGACAAAAGCCCCGTGGCGTGCAGGAACCTGGCCGCACTGGGGGACTGAGCAGCCAAGGGCCCCGTCTTTGCTGATTGAGCGCTCAGGGTGACACCGTAGCACAGAGCCGCTGCAAAGGAGAAGGGGCTCTGTCGCTGAGTTTCTCTGACGGTATCGCCCAACTGCTCTCATCGCTAGCGCCCGGCGCGGCCTGCCCCGGCCCCAGCCGCGCCTGACCCTTCACCCCCGCCGCTCACCTGGGATCCAGTGGCCGCAAGTCTCCCGTGGTCTCTTCCCTGTCCTTCCCTCCTCAGGGCCTCCCAACGCACCCACTCCTCTTTGCACAGCCTCAAGGCGTTTTTCCACAGTTCCCCTCACCTCATTCTGTTGGATACAGGGGGAAACAGACTCAGTGTCTCCTCCAGTCACAACCACCGGCTCAGGAGGTTTCCCCGAAGGCTGTGGGGTTTTTCCTCAGCAGCAAGGAAGCGATTGACTCCGCAGCAGACCTAGGCTGGGTGTTCCTGCATCCAGTCGGTTCTGACACCCAGGCTGTCCTGGCGGAATTGGGCTGTACCCCTTTCCAGCACGGGGATGGATTCCTGTCCACCTTTCTGGTGGCCTCCATGCACCCAGCTACCCACAATGCACTCACTGTTTTGAGATTTCATTGGAAGTCATTATTTTGAATGATTGATGAATCCCTTGGTCATGGGGGACCGACATTGCCTTCAGCCCCTCTGCCCCCTGGAAGCCCAGCCCTCCCTCTGAGCAGGTCACTGTCCCTCCTCCCCAGCAACCAGCCCTTCACATCTGGTTTTCTGGGGACTTTCCAAACAATCACCTTGTTAGTATACATTCAGAGCCAGGCATGGTAGCACACACTTGTAATCTCAGCACTCCGAAGGCTGAGGCAGGAGGATCACAAGTTGGAATCCAACCTGGGTAACTTAGAGACTTAGACAAAAATAAGAAAAGAGGTGAAGCCGGGCATGGTGGTGCATGCCTGTAATCCCAGCACTTAGGAGGCTGAGGCAGGAGGATTGTTGTGAGTTTGAGAGTTTGAGACCAGTCTGGGCTGCACAGTGAGCTCAAGGACAGCCTGAGCTACCGTGCAAGACCCTGTCTCAAGAAAGAATTACCTACATTTAGGGGTGTTGGAAAGGGCTTGTAGAGAAAAAAGACTGAGCTGGGGATTTAGCTCAGTGGTTCTGCCACCTGCCTCACAAGCATAAGGTCCTGAGTTTGATCCCTGGTACAAAATAGAAAAGAAAAGAAAAAAGTCTGACCTCTACCTTTACGCTGGGGCTCTTCAGGGGCCAAGGACAAAAAGTGATATATTTTAATGAAGATATTCTTGGTGCTCTGGTCATACAGGAGATAGCAGGGTTACTGGAGCTGAGGTAGGAACCACGGACAGACATGTGCATGGTAATATTTTGTTATTGAGTGGGGTAGGGGCGAGCAGTGTTTCCCAGGTTCTGATCGTCCCATTCCATGAATTGGTTAGGACGATGGGTGAAGGGGAAATACTACGGCTTATCCGGAGGCAGGAAGAGCAAGAAGGGAGGGAAAAGCACAGAGGAAGTACTCAAGGAGAAAAGAACAAGAAGAAGAGCAGCTCTGTCCTGCAAGCAGAATGGACCGCTGTGGTCACTGGCTGCCGTCCCCTCGTGTCCTCTGACAGTGGTTCCAGGCGATCCCACTTGATCTGGCGCTGGAGGATTGGCATCAGGTGCCAGGCTTGCCTTCTTCTCTTGTTACAAGATTGATATCAGGTGCCAGGTTCTCGATCAGCTCGGTACCGGGCACAGGGCCCAGCCCGGTCCCTCACGCTGTGCTCATGGTTCCCGGGTCCTCTCACTCTGCGGGTCCTGCCCAACTGCCCCAGCCGTGCCCTGGCTCCTATTTCAACACCTGCACTCGCTGCCAGGCACCCCGTCTTCGCTCCGTGTCCCCTCGGACCACAGCACAGGCTGAGGTCCGGGACTCGGCCCTTGGCTCCGCGGCAGGGACACTCACCCACATCGTACAACCCTGGCTGCTTCCCGTCCGTCCTCCAGGTCTTTGGCCACAGGCTGCTTCCTCTGAGAAGTCCTCCCTGACCGCACAGGCCGCTCTTTTGGGGAAGCCCTGGCTGGAGGGACTTTCACTTCCCCTCCCTTTGCCCTTCCTCAAGGTTATTTCCCTTTCCTGACCCTTTTCCAGTGACAGTGGAGCCTCAGGTTACGACCTGCCCGACACAAACAACTTGGGTTAACTGGGTTAACGGACGACGCATCTGCCTCTTGTTATCTGCAGCGTGTACCCAGGTGAATGTCCAGACCTCAGCTGTATTGACTTACAACCAAGCCCCCCTTGGGATTGTACGTCAAGTGCGTGTTCCTTTTACCAGTGTTTTGCATTCTGAGAAGAAGCCTCAGCTACGATGTTTGCTGGTAAACGTCTTTCTTCAGCTTGCGGGTGAGCTCTGTAACGTCTCTCCGTTGCCTTTACTTTTGTGCATCAGGCCGCGCCAATGGCTGTGAGATCCAATTTGCAGGAAAATAGTATATTTGTTTTAAGAGAATACAGGAAATAACCCTGGGAGAAGAGAGATACACACCCTGTGTGAGGAAGACCCCACTCAGCACGCAGCCTCCCTGTGCACCAGCTCACGGTAGCCAAGCCCGAATCTTCCTCAGCATCAGCCCTTGAGTAAACCCGACTCCTCCCTCGAACTCTTGGCCCCTGAGCAGCGAGCAGCGCGAACCTCATTCCCATGGTACGTCCATTTGGTTCAAAATGCCTCCCCTGCGTTTACATCCTCCGGGGAAATGAGCACGCTAGGCCACTCTCACGTCGCAGAGCAACCGTCAAGCTCTGCAGTTAATTTGTGATTTTCCGGAATTTCCCCAAGGATCAAGTTTACTTTCGATTTAAAAACTACAGATCTTTTCCCTAACCTGTTTTTCCCATTCTAGTAAACGGCAGGTCCATCCTTCCTGTTGATCGGATCAGACTGCAGCTGGCTCCTCTCCCTCTCCTACATCAGCTCCCACCCTCTCTTCCCTGCTCACACAGCTGCAGCCACACAGGCCTCCCCATTGATCTTCAGACACACCAAACAGGTTCCAGCCTCAGGGCCTTTGCACTTGTTATACTAGCTGCTTGGGATGCTGATTGGCTAACACACAGCTGGCTCCTTTCTTTGAATATTATCTTTGGTTGTCTTCTGCAAGCATCTGGTTTAAAATAATACTTCCACCCTCCTCTCCCCAACCCAATGTCCCTTTATTCTTCATTCCTGCTCCTCATCTTCTGTCTCTCTCTCTCCCTCCTTCTCTTTTTTCTTTATGACTTCCTAAGTCCAGGCTGTTTACTGCTCAAAGGCCAATAACCTGGACAAGAGAGTCGGTAGAATGAAATTAGCTTTATTCAAAGCCAGCCTTGAACATGACGGAGAAGCTAAATCAAAGCTCCACCTAAGGGTGGGGTGGTCAGGAGCATAAAGGTCTTCTGCAGGGAGGTACAGAGGAGCAGGGCCGAAGCCTCTGTGCTGAGTGGGGTCTGTGTCCTCCGTGGCACGTGTCTCCCTTTTCCTTTTCTGGAACTTGGCAAGGGTCCTCAGTCTCCTGAGTTCTCAGACAGACGCATTCACAGAACTGAAGACTAAGGAGCAGCACAACAGAGGCCTTTGGGTGTTCTGGCTCCTGTCAATCTGAGAAAGATTTAGCAGTTAACATCTTTGTCATGGGGGTGGGGCTCCTCTCTAGAATTTATAATGCTGGACGAAAGGGAGGGGACCTCAGCCTTGCAAGAGGATTAAAGAGGGAAGGGCAAAAATAGCAACTCTGCCAACACCAACCCCAGAGGAGTGGCCCTGTCACGGCTTGTGTCACCACCTGACAACCTGTCTCTTTATTCTTTGTTTCCATGGTTTCCCTCCAAAACGAATGTCAGCTCTACAAGGACAGACTTTTTGTCTGTTTAACTCACTGTATAGTACCTGTGTCTACTACAGTAGCTGGCAAATGCTAATTACCACTGTGTTTTGAATAAACACCTGGGAAGGCACCGCGCACAGTCAGCTTGGACAAATGTTGGCTGAGAACAAAGGCATGAAATTTTCTCGAACAGCTGGCAAATCTGAGGGTTTGCTAACCACATCCGCATGTAGTATTTTATGGAGAACCAGGTAAATAATGATGATAGTGAGTGCTCTATGGTTATGCTTATAATAATGCTATGAGGGAAAACTGTGGGCCCATTTTACAGATGAGAAAGCAGAGGCTCTGAGTTTGATGACTTGTCCAGAGCCAGCACTTTCATCCAGCACAGATTCCAGTAGCTAAGAATTTAGCCACTACGTTCAGGGTGATGGCACAGATATAATAGCAAGAAACACTGGACAAGGATGTACATGGGAGAGATTCAAGACTGTGACAGATGTGGGACAGAATATTGGTTCAACACAGAGGCCCTTTGGGATACCGCACCCTGTTACTACAAGACCAGAGTGCCATCAGTGGTTAGAGGGAAGGGGACTCGAAGAGAGGGAATGTGGGAGGCAGGCAGCAATGAGATATCTGTGGGACTCAGAACAGCAGGAGAATGAACCCTTCTTTTTTTTTTTTCCTCCCCGGTACTGGGGATTGAACTCAGGACCTTGCAGTTGTGAGGCAGGTGCAGCATCACTGAGCCAAATCCCCAGCCCAGAATGAGCCATTCTGAAGACCCAAAGTAGGCTGCGATAAACCACTTAAAGGTGCCCCGGGTGTTGTTGGGGAGAAGATTTTGGGCACAAGAAATTTGCATGGTGAAATATCATGGGAGCCTAGAACCTTCATGAGTGCTAGGCCTAGAATATTCACAGAGAATAAATACACAGTGTGTTTTTGGATGTCATCAAGGAAGGTCTGAAACTGGAACGTTTCTGAGGTCTAGCTCCATGGTACAGCATTTGCCTAGCAAGCACAAGGCACTGGGTCTACTCCCCAATGCCACCAAAAGACGAAAACCAAAAGACAGAAAATGCTTGCAACAGCCGAGGGAAGGAAGTGAGGTTGTTCCAAAGACAGAGCATGCAGATGTCCATCTGGGTTTTTGGTGGCCATGGCAGGTGGTTGGGGGACTTAGGACATTGCCTGGGTTGGGACACTCAGGTAACTGGGGGGCTTTTAGGTTGCAACATCTAGGAGGCTACAGGCTGGTGGTTGAGTGCTTTTGCAACATGGAGGGTTGCTCGGACTGAACATGCTAAGATCATGGATTATGGTCCCCACAGGACGCTTTGGGGAAGGGCAGAGAAGGGCTCAGCAAAGCAAGGAGGGCACGGTGGGAGGAGGAAGGTGGGTAAATAACCCAATTCTTATTGTGTACTCTTTGTCCATCTCAGCCCCTGGGTTTTGTGTTTTTTGATTGTTTCATGGATCCACGAGACATATTTGGAGACTCGAGTGTAGACACCAGGCCGGTTTGGTTGTCCGCATGGGAAGTCTCCCCAGGAGATGATGCCATGGAGTGTGCCGTTGCAGACTAGTGGGCCCCCGGAGTCACCCTGTGGGGGAGAGAGCAATGGGGTCTCTGTTGGGGCTAAATAAAGGCAGAGATGGGGGAGAGTAAAAGATGGAGAGGGACCCACATGCAGACAGGCACAGTCGGAGAGACGGAGAGGTGCAAAGGTCGAGCCAGACACAGATGTGGGGTGAGAAAGCAATAGAGACACTAAAAAATGGATAAGAGGAACAGCACAGCCAGATCCAGAGAGGGAGATTGGGGGCGGGGCTGACATCCCTGTCTTTCTATTTTTCTTCATGCCTTAGTCTCACTGAAGTGGTGACCGTTGATATCCATCTTGGTTTCTGGGCACCAAATCCCAGCTTACACCCCCAAGCCCTCATCAGCTGGGCCTGCTCTGATTTGACACCTCCTTTGTGCCATCTAGCGATCGAGTTAACACACTGCATGCAGGCGGTGTGTGTAATACACATGCTCTTTACTTTTCCCTGGCCTGGGCAGACATCACTAATCGAGCATGGCACACATCCTTCACTGGTGCTCATGCTCTTTCTCACTAACCCAACTCTCAGACGCCATTTTCTTTACTTTAGTAAAAGGCCTGAGTTTTCCATTTGCGAAATACTTTTGCCCCTCTCAATCCATGCAGTTGGCCCACCACTGTGGCTTCCACAGTCCCACCGTGGGTCCCATCATGGGTTTCAGATTCCCACAGCTCAGATCCAAGTGATGGTTCAATATGCACAACTCGGATCAGCCTAGTGAGACTCATGCCCAAGACATTTGTGTCAACTATTAAAAAGAGATGTTCTCTCTTTCCAGTAGCATTGCTTACTGGGTGACGGGTAAGCCCTGAGCTGCTGGTAAAGAGCCTGGTTGAGAATGAAGCCCAAACAGAAGAGAAAAACTGAGACTGAAAAGAGACAGAGCTCCTAAAACACGACCTGTACACCGGGATCCCTCTGTACCTGAAGCCATTGTGTCTGGATTTTCAATAACATCACGCCTGCCAGGGTGTTTGTTGTAGTGTTTTACTTATGACAGTTGGAGTTGGGTTTCCATCACTAGCAACTAAAAGAATCCCAACCTTCAGGCTTCTCAACAGAGAGATGTGGGCAGTCACTCAGCCAAAGCTGAAGTTCAAGAGGAATTTATTTGCCACCCCTGGGACCTTCCTTTTTGTCCGCACACCCTTAAGATAGAGGACACCCCCCTTATAGATTGGTTCCCCCAGAGCTGGGAACAAATCCCTCCCCCACCACAGCTTCCTGTCCCGGCCATGAAAGCCCACAACTTCGTCTCTCACCTCACAGGAGTCTCTTCCCCCCTCTTTGGAGCCAGCACACAGCATGTTGGTGGTGATCTTCCCCGGGTAGACCCTGCGGCACTCCTCATCTGAGCGGAGTGGGATGTTTGCACACTGCAGGGTTTTGGGGTAACTCACTGGGGAGGAGAGAGAGGTCTGAGGTTAGCTGTCCTGGACGGGTGATGGTGTGGAGGGGAGAGATGGGCCGTGTAAGTGGGCGAAGAGACGCAAGCGACAGGAACACCTAGGGACAGAGGAGGAGGGAGAGGCAGGAGAAGAGTGGGGAGGAGGGGCGGGCAGGCAGGGCTGGGTGTAAAAGAGGAGGGAAGGGAGCCAGAGGTAGGAAGAGAAAGCTGGGGAGGGGAGCGGGGAGGGACAGGAAGACTGGGATGGTGGGAGGTGGAGAGCTGGAACCAGAGGGGATGCGGAGTGGGTGGAGGAGAGGGGAGATCGGTCGAGCAAGGGCTTGCCGCGGAGATGCTTTTATACTCGGGCACACGAAATTCATGTGAAGGTTATACTTGTTTACATTTGGTTATGTTACTAAATACATACTCATTACTGCATTCAATTTTCTGTAATACATGTTTATAGTTTAGATGTATAATACATTATAGACTTGCATACTATGTTTATATAAACACACCATATAGTATGTAATGTTCTTATAAAAATTATGTATGACTTAGAACTTAGAAAACAATTAATAGAACTTTTAATTATATTCTTATGTGTATCGCTATCGGTGGTCATTTGATAATACGTTTATAATATGTTCATATTTAGGTATTCATAAATGTGTGTATGTGCACGAATGGGATACAGGCCTCTGATATATATGTACGTCTTTCCTCCCCACTTGGACACCCGAGGCCCCTCTCTGAGGCCGCAGGCACCGGGGTGAGCTCCTCACATACCCTGGGGGCTGGTGGTGGTGCCCCAGCCGGACACCCGACAGCAGGTCCCGGGGGGCAGGCAGTCACTGCGGGAAAGGGGCAGGGTGCGGATGTGGGCTGTCAGCTGGACCGGGGTCTCCAGCTCCAGAAGCATGATGTCGTTGTCGTGGTTCAGGTGGGTGGGGCTGACCTGGTATTCGGGGTGGGGGACAGAGCGGGCCACCTCCCTCACCTGCTCGCGGGTCTCCACGTGCCCCAGGACATGCTTGCCTAGGTGAACTGTGTACCCACTGTGGGGCAGGAAGGGTGTGGTTAGAGGGAAGGGTCAGCCTCTCTGCATCCGTTCCGGCCCTAGCCTCTTCCTCATCCCGCACATCTCTCCACCCTCAACTCCCACTGAGTCTTCTTCACCTCTATCCCTATATTTCCCCTATGTCCCCACCCCCCAACCTCATTCGTAAACCCCTGCCCGACCCCAGCCCTCAATCTCCTCCTTAGGGCCAACCCCAGCCCGCCCAGAGCCCGGCGCCATCCATCCCTCCCCATGCTCCCAGACCCCACGTACTCTTTCATGCAGTGTGCGGCAGTGAGGACCCACTTTGGGTGGACCAGGACGCCCCCACAGAGGAGCCGCCCTCTCACCAGCAGGGCTGCCTGCCAGGGCTGGGAGTGGGGCAGGCAAGTGTAGCCACCAGGTAGAAACCCACTGGTCCCATTGGTACCTTTCAGAATCTTGGAAGACTCCCGGGAGATGCCTGGGGAAGAAGAGAAACTGTTAGAGAACGGGGTCCAGGGTGAGGAGGAGGCTAGAGTTGTAGTCCCTGTGCTTGGAGAAAGGGTCACACAATGGGCCTGGGTGACAAGGAGTTGCCAGCTCATTTGGTGGCCTCTAGGAGCTGCCATTTTCTATTCAGTGGGGATGACTTTTTTCTGTCCTATGGAAGGGCCAAACTGTCCAGTGGAGACTGTAAGAAGAGTTCAAGGAGTGAGCACATGGGTGGTAGGAGGCAGGAGCCTGACTTTCTTCCTCCTGCGTTTTTTCTATCACTCCATCATGGAAACGGACCTCAGGAGGTGGAAGTGAACAGACCTATGTATCCACCAGGCAGCCTCCATCCATCCAACAATCCATCCATCCATCCATCCATCCATATTTTACTGGTGCTTCTACGGCTCTAAATACCACCCGAAATCCAACTATGCTCACATTCACATCTTCAGTCCTGAATTCTTCTTTCAAGCTGGAAACTCAAACCCCGTCAACTTCCATGCCTTGCACGCACCTTCAAATTTTGTGTCCCTAATTTGATTTTTCTCAACCCAAACTACTCCACCTTGGTGTTTAGGCCTAAAGTGAGGTATCATCTTTGCTTCCCCTCTTTCCTCCTCACTCGTGACCGACGAGCCCTGTTGGTTTTAGCTGCTGTGTATCCAGTTCTCTCCGAATCCTCACGGCCATCTTGGCCCATGTGCCGTCTTCCCCAGGCTGAATGACTGCAGGGGAACCTAAACGTTTTCACTTTCACATCCCTTCAATCTGGGCTTCCCAAAGCAGCCGAAGGATCCTTCAAACCAGACGGTTAGACAACACCTTTGCCAGGCTTGACTTTCTGTGAAACAAAACCCAGGAGCCTTTCTGAAGTCTTCAGGACCCTGCTTGGCAGCCTCGGTCCACCTCCCCTGCCTCCGTCCTCTGACTCTCTCGGCCCAGCCTCACCCCTGCTCTTCTGAAACACCAGACCCTTGGACTTCTTGCTGTTCGCCACCAGCCACACAGGGCTCCTTAGTTTTTAAATTAACTAAAATTATGTTAAGTCAAGTTAAAAATGCAGTCCTTCAGTGATGCCAACCACATTTCAAATGTTCAAGTGTCCCAGGTGTCCAGTGGCCGCCATGCCTGGCAGTGCAGACAGAGACACGTGAGGTTTCTACGGTGTGGCACCCAGAATCTAAAGCCACGGACTTGGCTCCTCCTTGATCCTGAGAGCTCAGCTCAAAAGTCATTTCTTCAGAGAGGTCTTTGTCACTTGGCCTATGCTGCGCCCATCCCTGGGTCCCAGGGACACCTGATGACAGCCCCAACCAACTTTCCTCAATGTAGTGATCACGGTCATTTGTCCCCCTTAAAAAAAAAATCCCACCTTGACTGCAAGCTCCAGACGACAGGCACCTTCGTTATTTTGTTCAGAGACCTATCCCGAGGACCTACCACAGTGCCTGGCACAAGCTCACTGCTCAGCCAAAGAACAGTGTCTGTGCCGCACACCGTACCTGGCAGTGCCTCCATAGCAGTGGGACAGAAAAATCTAGTCCCAAATTGGCTGCTGTCTTACCATGCAGCCTTGTACAAGTCACCAGCCTCAGTCACCCCAGCTGTCAAGTAAAGAGTACAGTTGTCGCTCAGTATGCACGGGGAATTGCGTCAGCCCAGATACCGAAATCTGGAGATGCTTGAGTCCCTTATGTAAAATGGTGAAGGCTTTACCCGTCCCCTACCCAACCTTCCCCTGTAGGACTCAGGAAGACCTTGTGGTGCAGCAGTGCAGCACAGGCCCAGCTCTCCGCAAGAGGAAAGTCCCTTACTAGGGACGAGCCTCGGGGCCTCTCCCACCCACAGCTGAGCGCTGCCATGGGCCCCACAGCTTTTAAAGTTAGGAGTAGGAGTCAGGGAGAGGGGACGGCGATCATCTTAGGCGGGGCAGAGGGAGGTGGAAGTGATACAGGACTCTACAAACTCAGAAATGGAGCCACCGTCCCGTTCTTGAGCGCAAATGTCTCGTGGTGGTGCCGATCACCTCTGAGCTCTACCCTCCCTGGTCCTCACTGAGCTCACTTTTACAAGCAGGAGGAGGCAGAAGCCCTCAGCAGATGAACCGGCCTTCACAAAGTTGAATCATCCCTGGTAGCTACTTTAGGGGGTTAGAGGGGTCATCAGCCGCAATTTCAGGTGACTCCGCCCAATCAGCATATTGCTTTGTTTTCATTGGGCAGGGTCCCCCTGTCTGTCGTCTGTCTGTCTCATCCTCTATCATTTTTCTATTTAAATTTTGCATCCCTGGGATTGAACCCAGGACCTTTACCCTGAGCTACACCCACAGCCTTTGGTTTCCATTTTTATTTGGGAGACAGGATCTTGCTAAATTGCTAAACTGCTTGGTCTGGGTACGAATTTGTGATCCTTCTGCTTCAGCCTCAATGCTAGGATTACAGGTCTGGGCCACCACCGCCTGGCCAAACTTCACTTTATAATGAGAACCAAGGTTAAGAAGCTCCTTAGGCCACAAGTTATGAGCACGGCGCAGATCCGGAGGTCCGGGGTCATGGCCATGTCTGCGGGGCGGGACCCTCTTCCCCTCTCTCTCCGAGTCTTGGGCTTTCCAGCTTGAAACTGGACTGGAGAGGACCTGCCTCCTCGCTGCGGAGGATCTCACAAGATGGAGCATGTGGGGCTCTAATCCTGGGGTGCCGCACCCAGAAGGAGCATGAGGGTGAGTCCTGGGAGCGTGGCCAGGGCAGAGGAGCCACCCCTCCCGCAGGCGAGGAAGGTCTGGGTGCTAGGCGCCCGCAGAACCCCTCTTGGGAGGTCTTCAGGCCAGGCATCGCCACAGCGCCCGCGCCTTGGCTTCTGGTGCGGCTCCTCAGGCTCCTCTTACCTCACAGTGGTAATTAATTGTTAGCTAATTATCTGAGTGATCGTTTGCATAATCCCTCCCAGCGAGGCACTGCACCAAGCAGTGTTGGCTTCTCTGCAGCTGCTTAAAGAATCAATGAATGAACGCCGCACCAGTGGGCTTTCCACGGAACTCGTCTGCAAAGGCCGGCCGAGGGCTCCACGTGAAGAAAAGAGGACTCTTTGGGCACAAACCTTGGCCGGGGCCTCCCCCAGGATTCAGGGAAGGGCAATCTAGAAGGTCTTGGGATGGAACCCTAAGATCCAACCTCCACGTCCCCATTTCCCCAGGCACAGCAGCCCTCAGCGGTGACCACACAGAGGAGGAAGCTAAGTAATTCGCTCAAAAACTATGTCAGCCCTTCCTGTCCGCTGAGCCTCTGGGACCGTGGGAGGTGATGCTGTGGGGGTGTCGCTGGACGTGAGGAGGGGGCGCCCCAGAGCTGGGTCGTCCCTAAGGTCAGGGGGGGGGAAGGACCTAGGGTCACTGGGCTGACCCCAGGCGGAAAACCAGGTCACACAGGGACAGGAGGAAGCTCCGGGGCTGTCGGCGCCGGCGGGGCTGAGGCTGTGGGGGCGGAGCTCGGGGTCCCACGCC